GACTATTCAAGTAACCATGGAAATTTAAGAATTGGTAAAAGATGTTTGTACCATCAGAGTATCAGACATCAACATAAACAATCATTTTTGCTTGAAAAAAACTCTAAAATTGTATTTGCATGAAATATTTGTACATTGTATGCGTTCTTTTAAATTTCAGCATTTTTTAAACCAGTTATTTCACATTATAACAGAAACGGTTTTGGTGTGCAAAGGAGCATCTTTTAAACTAACATTCATCATTATTGATGATTTAAAAAAAAAAAAATGTTAGGTTAGGTTAATCGTCAAAAATATGAAAAGGTTCTAATTAAATTAGGAAATTTTATTCAAGTTTCAAGTTGTTCAATTTTAAATAAACGATTTAGAACCTTTTCATTATAGACTACACCTAGGGGGGCTGATATGGGTGAATACCCCCTTAGAACTTTATATTGGATATGTTTAAATCGCAGTTATAGCCTATAAAGTTAATAAAATAATATAACATTTGAATAGTCCCCTCCTAATTAAGCTCCAGCTACACGACTTTTCTAGATCCACGATAAGTGTAATGAGGTAGGTACCTAGCAAACTATGTTAAGGAAAATTAAAGTACCTAAGTGTAATACGATAGTAGGTAGCTCAATGTTTTTAGGGGAATTCACATGTGCCCGATTGATTCATTTTAAAAGGGCGTAACAAAAAAAGGGCTTGTTTCTATAAGTCTTACATTAATATAATATAAAAGATACCAAACTTTTACAATTGTCGTAGTTACCTACTTTTGGCTGCATCCGAGTTGGGTCCCGAATTTATAATTGCTACACTAGTTGGGTCCCGAATTATTTTAGGTACTACACTAGTTCGGTCCCGGATTTTTATAGTTACTACACTAGTTGGGTCCTGAATTATTTTATCTACATCACTAGTTCTTGAATATTTGTTGGTAAGTACTACACTATACTAACATTTTCATTCCCATTTTAATAGACTGTCTATGATCTATTTAGATCACAGGTATGGTAAAAAATGTTTTTTTTTAACCTAACCAACTCGTCGAGGTTTAACCGGCATTTATCGCTGTTCCAGATAGTTTATTATAAGATATGTCAAAAATTATCAGATATTACCGCTAACACTGAAATTATAAGACGAATGCTCGAAAATCACTTACGTCTTTTTTTACTACGAATATCCCAATAGTCATATTAATATTATTGTATAATATTTTTACTAACTATCAATTACTTATACTTTAATATTTAAAAAAAATTGTAAAAAACATTTTTAACCATACCTGTGGTCTAAATAGATCATAGACAGTCTGTTAAAATGGGAATGAAAATGTTAGTATAGTGTAGTACTTACAGAAAAATATTCAGTAACTAGTGGAATACCTATAATAATTCGGAACCCGACTAGTATAGTACCTTTAAAAATTCGGGACCCAACTAGTATAGCACCTTGAAAATTCCGGGACCCAACTAGTATAGCACTTTTTAAAATCCGGGACCCAACTAGTGCACTACCTGCGATTAGTCCCTAGTATTCAGGAGTAGTAGTGTTCACACAGATCCTCCTCTGCTGTCGGTTCAAACGAAAAAAAAAAAAAAAGTCCCTAGTATTCGGGACCTAACTCGGATGCGCCGCTACTTTTAAGTTAAAATAACCTTAACGATTATAATATTATATTGCATTAACAGGTTCAGGGCCATCCTGATAAGGGATAGGCATGGCCAACATAAATATTCCAGGAACCAGCTATTACTTTTGGTGTAATATAAAGACTATTATCAACTATTATTTATCCTATATCGAAAGATGGACAATTTTTCTTAAGTTCGACGTACGTTTCTCTAGCCCCCCCCCCCACCATTAAGGGAATGAAAATGTTTTTATGCAAATATATTGCATGCAATTGGAGGCTTTTAGATAAAGCGTAAAATCTAAAAATATCCTCGCATTTCCCCTGCCCAACCAAACATATTACAACTAATTCCTGTGCCAATATTTAGTACGCTATTAGCATGAAATTGCACGACCAAATACTGAAAACAAATTAACCGAAGATACTTGAAATGCTGGAAAAATGTTTTTTTTATTCATTTTGAACATCCTCATAAAGTAAATAGCACAACTATGATACACATAAAATACATTCAACAGACTTTTTGGTCTTTATCCTTGCCGTTAATTTTTGAGACTTTTGTACTGTACACAGTGACCATACTTATTGTAACTGCCAAGTTGTGTCAATAGACGAAGATTTCTGATTGGACGTTACTTTTTTGGTATCATGTAATAACAAAGTTGCAACAGAGTATACCAAAAATTGACCACAGCTCAAATTTTAAGCCAATATGGTTACATGTCATATTAGCTTTTTTAGTTGGTGGGACTGAAGGGTATTGCAGGGATACAGTATTTATGTTAGAACTTAAAAATAATGATTACATTAAAAAAAGGGGGATGATGGGGTTCCTTGATGTTAGACGTCATAGAATATTTTGAACACTACGGCGCTACCGAGTGACGGAGGGGTTTAAAGGTGGATTCACACCTCGTCGTGTACTATATTCCATATATTTAATAGACAGGTAATAAAATGTTAGTCACACTTTACCTGCAAGTTGAATACATTAAAGTCTACAGTTCTACACAACACGGAGAGTTATGCTTATGAACCCCTATTTACACTACCAGTTCCATTACGGTATAGGTACCTGGTTGTTCGGCTCAATCGGCTTCGGGTATGACGACTAATTACTTATCCTCGCCGACATATTACCTACTTGATATATAACGGGGCGCGAACGTCATCGATGGCACCGGCAGTTCTAATCTTTTGTGCCCGCCGCTAAAAATATATTATTCAACTTTTCGCAGTGTGGTTGCAGCATAGTCTTATTTAAACCATTTTCTTTTTAGGTCTATGGGGTACAGTTATGCAAGGTCACGGACTGAGATATACCTTATCACAGAACTATAATAAAATGGACTGGAACGAGCTGCTCATCAGAGGTCACGAATGTATGTACAAGGGGCTGGTGCGGGGGGTCGCAATGGGGACCGAGAGTTTACAACGCCATCTGTATAAAACATAGACTAAGTCATAAGGTAAAAATTACAAAATATGATGCCAAATAAAACTACCGGTAGCACTGTTAACATTCGGGCCCCTGTGTGAGGAACCTTTTGGTGGCCGTCTCCCGACCATGTCGTTTCCAGTCCATTATATTTCAATATATGTGCAAGGTTTATAGATATCTGACATCTGTAACTATCTATTAACCATGACAGTTAATGTTATGTGCAGAAAAGTGAACACAACAAATTAAAACATGTACTGGATACAGAACGATACATGATAAGGATCTCCTAAAGTGTACTACTGCTCCAAGAGAATTAAATTTTTACAGATTTTATGTAAAATTATTTTGAAAAAGTTGAAATAAATGTAATAACAGCTGTTCTGGTAAGTCAGTTTGGGTCCAAGAAAAATAGGTCATTGGGTTTTCAGTATAATTTAATTTGTGATGAACACTAAAATAAAATATAAAAATGTTATCATCGGGTATAATATTCATATCCTTGGTATTGCATTTTGGTATGAAGTGTGAATCTACATCAAATTATTTATAGTGTAAAAATAATATTTTGGAATACACGATACGAAGATTGTGAACGTAAACCAAGGTTTGACCACAGAAATAGATCATTTTTATAAATGTCTTGTTTTAAATAGTGATGAGAATAATCGAAATAATAAATAATAGTAGTTACAGATATATTATTAAAATAAAATTAATGAAATAAAACAATTGGATGAAAATACATAAATAGCGATATTTCAATGATGAAAAAATTAGCATATTAAATTTAACTTTTCAACAAATTTACTGTATAATTAAATTCAATATTTATGTTAGTGTTTAAAAAACTAATACAATCAAATTTTTTGGGGTGAAGTCTACTCCTATGGTAGTTAGTTGCCCAGCTTTAGAAAACACACTTTATTATGGAACAGATGTTGCATGATCATTCAAGTATTTCACCTGCAACAATTCTGAAAAAGTTATTTTATCCTTAATCATAATAATTTGATAATTCCAATCACTAGTTTTCAATGCGAGGAACACTAACTGATAAGTGGTTATTCAAACTTATCAAAATGTCATTGGATATTACTTTAAACCTAATAGTATGTTATCATAAATAATCTACAATTTATGACACAGAAATTAAGTACTGCACTGTATCATTTAGTTATATTGATTCAAAGAAGAAAAATACAGACAGTATAGTAAATAACATTTTCAGACTATAAAGATGATTTTTAAAAATTATCTAGGTGAAAATATAAATAAAAATGTATCTAGATAATTCTAAACACTGCCATAGGGTAGGTAATATTTGAATATTGGTGTAAAAAGATAAAATATATTACACAACAATCTACAATAGTTTAATTTTACGCTTGTCTACCAAATAAAAATAATATAACAGAATAAATTCTGTTTTATCCACCAAGATTATTGTATTTGATGCAAAAATAAATGTAACTACCCGCTAATGCACCTTAAATTCTTGACAATTTAAAAAATAAATACATAAATAATGGATACTTGGAAATTTATTTTTATGTATATTTATTGTAATGGAATTGTAATTTCAAATATAATATTCAATTGAATTAACTTGAAAACATGCAATTATGGAACACTTATACTAATATAAAGGGATTTTCCAAAATTTATTTTTATTTTTTTACAACTAAGAACTTTCTAGTTGGGTTCAGTATCTAAAACTTAATTTTATTTAAATACATTTAAAAATACTTACCAGTAAAATAAATTCACGCAACAGACGATATAAATAAAAATACATGGCAATAACTGACTTTAGGATTATAAAATAATTTATAGAGAATAATTATTATCAATTCATTTTTAGTTCACTGAAAATACCTACTTTAAGTAAAACTAATATTTACAATAAAAAAAAATAAATTGACAATATTGTGATTTTGAAGAATTTAATTTTAATATATACTAAATAATTTAGTGGGGTTACTATTGAGTAACTTTCATTTATATTTAGTTCTTGACCAAAATAACCTATTAATAGGTTTTAACAAAAAAATCAATTTTATATACAAATATGCTTGGACATAATCACGATAAAATTCATAAAAAAAAAATTAAAATGACAAAGTATTCTCTATTTATAATATTATTACATAATAACCAACAGGTAGATAAATACTTAAATGTTGATTAAATGTAATAATCAGCTTCTTTCTTATAAATAAACACAATCACAATGTGTATTTTATAGCTTATAATAGTAGTTTATTATTAATAAGAATAAGAATGATTAGAAATAGTACGAGGAGCATAAGTGAACATATGTCACCAGTGATGATCCAGTCAAATAATAATACGTTCAGTTGCGCCTGTAAGGATGGTATGGTTGTGCTTGGTTTGAATTATAATTATTCGCTCTGGTTGGTCCTGGGGCGTTATTGTAAGTCGCCGCCGGTACCCCGGCGGAAACGACAGGCGTCACTACTGGGGCCACTAAATTATAGAAAGTTGACAATTTAAAAACCTAATTTTTAATTTCAATTTTTTCTTTTGAAAAAATAGAACATTAAATAGATAGAAAAGAATAGGCAACACTGCAAGTAAGAAAAATTATGTATATATATATTTAAAAAATGGCCGACTTTCATAACTGAATGACATTCTTTACTAAAAATTGTTGATGGATACAATAAAAAATTATTTTTATTTCCTGTTTAAATAAGTATGGGAAAACACATTTACTTACAACTCGCAATGTCGCCCAAAAAAATAGGAGGGGAATTAATTAAAAATGGACACTCAATATTGTTTGTATTGTTTTTTTTTTAATATTTAAACAATTATTATTATTATTATTATATTATTATTTTGTTTTAAATCACGCCAAAAGCGACCTTCTACATCATTGAAAAAACACTAACTGACAATAAATAATAGGATTTTTTTCTCAAAATAAAAATTGTTACAGGCTAAAGTATTAATAATAAAGCTCAAATTTGTTTTTTTTTCACAAAATAATTAAACATTCATAAATAATAAATAAAACGAGAAATATATAAATAAATATCTATATAAATATTTCATAGCTTTTGTCACAGGTTAAAAAAGTTCTCAATCGTGTCCTATCCGTCGAATATATAAAATGTCTTGATAAAAAAAAATTCAATAATTAAAACAAATTCTTATTTAAGACCATAACAACTGTAAACCTAGACTTATTTTGTACAAAAAATATGCTTATAACTCATCACATTTAAGTCGTTAATTCTTTAAAAATATAGTTTTGGTAAAAATCATTTTTTGAGAGTAATGTTCTCAAAAAATAAAAATTATTATTACTAAGAAAATGTCATCCTATAAGTAAATACAGATAATATTACTTTAAAGTTTATCCACTAATTGTGTAATCTTAAGTTTATTATTAAATTTTAAAAATAGTGACTTTATAAAAAAACCAGTAACTTACTAGGACGAGCTTCTGTTATATATTATATATAAATATATATATATTAAAAAAAAAAAATGACAAATAGTCGGGACAAGATATTTAAAGTAACCTTGACTTATTCATTAAATAATTCAACTTCTACTTAAAAATGAAAACAACACTTATTTTTTAAACGATTCGAGAATCTTCCTTAAGCCTGTATGTACATTAAAATTTTTTTACCAATTAATCAGTCCAGTGGTTCTTTAGCTATCTATTACAATGTGATTTTTAAAAGTAATTTTATAAACCTAAGAGCTTGAAATTTACCCGAATTTTGTTAATATTATTTATATTCCTTAACCCGATTCCCTTCACACTAAGTTATAAAATAATTATATTCGAAATATTTTAGATGTACTGCCTAGTCTCACTTTTGGTTTCACCTTAAAAAAACATGGTGCCGTTACTTTTTTTTTTACTTAAGACCAAAGAAAAAAATAAACAAACTATGATAACAATTGTCATATGTCTAAAAGAAAAAAAAACAGGCTAAATTAAATATATAATAATAATAAAAAAAAAACCATTAGAATCTAGGGAAATAATAATTATTACGCTAAGTTCCATTTGTTATTCGAGTATAAGTTAAATAGTATTATGTAGTAATTATAAATAGATTGTATTAATATAGATATTTAATATATAATTCTATTATATACGTAAGAATTACAAATATTAATCGATACTATAATATTCCTAAATTTTTCTTTTTTTTTATAAGTTATATTATTTTTAATTGTTTCGTTATTATAATAATTGTGTTACCCAAACCAGTGAATATTGAGAGAAGTGTTAATTGAATTCAATCAGTCATGAAGTGGGCCATTCTTTAAAGTCAAATGGCTTACCATACCCACCGCCAGACCCGAGGCCAGCGGCTGTGCCGTCCGCCCCTCTATAAGTTTGGCCTGCACCATAGCTGGTCGAATCCTAAAAATATAATTTACTCCAATATTATCCCATAACAAAATGTAAAACTATGTATCTAATAATACCACTATCACTACATTTACTATTATTACTACAACTAACTACCATTATTATTGATTACTAATAATAATAAAAAAAAAACAATGATTATAATTATTAATAATAATAATAAATAAAATGATAACGAACTTAAATTAAATTAATGATTATCTGCCTTTAAAATTATAATTTTTTGATGTAAGAAAATTAATACAATTTGTAATTCTTTTCAATAAATGAGTTGTGTGTAAATAGTATTTGATATTAAATAGACACAGTCAATAGGAAAGAAATTAAAACATTTTTAATTCACAGAACAATAAGTAAATTATAATTTAATTTCAATATCATACTATCTGTTATAAGCATAATTTCAAAAGGCAGAATAAGCTTAATTAAATTAGAACTAGTGTAAATTGTACGGCCTTCATATTTATAACATAATTTTATTAATTAATGCACAAGAGAGTAAATATTAAAATTCAAAATGAAATAAATCTAATTAATTTCTCTTAACTTACATAAAGTAGCAAAGCTTAACACAAATGGTTTAAATAATTTATTTATATTTATTGATATAATTAATAATATGAAATGAAAATAGTAAATTAGTAATTTTATTTAATATGTAATTTATGGGATTCATAAAAAATTAAGCATAAAATAATACCTCAAAAATGTTCAATATACATAATTAGTTCTTAAACATGGAGAGTAAAAAAAGTACTTAGTTGTTTAGAAAATTTAAATAATGAAATCAAGTTCAACCCATCTACTTATTAATAAAATCTAACAATAAAAAAAAAAAAAATTATGTTGATATATAATATCTTAAAATAAATTATTTTGAGTAAAAATCATCAAAAATAGTTATGTAAAAATATTAATTATATGTAAATTATGCATATTATAAAAAAATTAAAATTATTAACAATTATTAATATTAAAAATATTTAACCAAGTATGAATACTAACATAATACATTAGTACACGTTAAAATCAATAGATAATTTATTATTTCATTACAAGAACTTAATTTATAATTATTTCAACAACATAAGCGTAACCAAAACAATTTAAATTAAAAGAAAAATATTTTATTTAAGTTGATTTACTGTTAAAGAAAATATGAATTGTCTACCATTTTTTAATTTTTAACTTTTATATGTCACAAAAGAAATAATTCTTAGATTTAATATATATGATTATGATAGGAGAGAAATATTGCTTAGGAGAACTATTTTCCTTATAATAACTTAAAAAAACATTTATAATCACAATAATATTGATAATACATGAAATTATATTTTCATTTATTTTTAAAGTACTCAACTTCAAAATATAATCCTAATATATGGATAAAAATTAAAATAGTTCTGAACAATTAACATGTACAATAAATATGATATAATTATGATAAAAATAAAAATTATAGATAAATACTCAAATAAATGAACGTCCAATCTAAATTCTAATTGCATTTGTCACATTTGTCTTATTACTACAATACATGTTTTTTTTTAAATTTCTTAAAGTGTTATAATAAGTTAATAAAATATGATTTCATTGTTATTCAACAATAGTTCAAGTTTTTCAATGATTCATTAATTTAACTTTGGGAAAAAATGTTAACTACAACTAACTTTTACCAAGGCACGTATCAAATGAACATTAAAATAACTTTTAAGAAATGGCTTAATTAATTATCCAATGTAGGAATTTAGTTTTGAGACAACAAATAAATTCTTCAACTGACACTTAGCACGAAATAATTTAATAATTAAATGAAAATTTTGAATTTAGCTAGTACATTTAAACGGTTTAAATAAATTATTAAAAACATTTCAATTTAAAAAAAATTCAAAAAATTGAATAATTTTTTAATAATAGAGTACCTAATTATTATAATTATATTATGTTATCATTATGGGTATGTTGGGTTCTTTATATTATAATGTTAAATGCATAAATGATTTGTAACCATACAATTTACATTGTCCTCTATTTTAAAAAAAAATTCTCTATTATAAAAAAAAAATAATAATAATTACATAATACATATTAAATGAATTCAGGAACTGAGAGACCCTAATAAATTATTTAATAAATCATACCTGTTGATAGCCAGTGTAATTTCCATAGCCAGCATAATCACCAGCTTTTTGTGGGGCAGTTCCAGGCGGAGTAGGTCCAGTGGCTGGTGCTGCTCCAGCAGAACGAGAATACATATCATCTGATTATGTCAGAATTTAATAATACAATAAAATCGTTGAAAAATTTAACGATATAGCTTACTTTGAGGTCCTGGTCCAGTTTGTCCAGGAGGTCCAGTAGCTGCAGCAGGTCCATTCTGGGGTATATTCCAATTCCAGTTATTTCCGTAACTTGACTGTGGAGGTGCTTGAGGTGCTATATTGTTATGGATTAAAAATATAAAAAATAAATTTAACACTAAGTAATAATGTGTTTACCATAAGAACCGTATCCAGGTTGTTGAGGTGGAGCATAGTTTGAACCCCAAGTTGGAGGAGCCATTCCTTGACCTTGCGGTCCAGGTGGAGCTCCCCAACCCTGAAATCCACCTGGACCAGATGGAGTGCCATAACCGGGGTACTGTGATTGAGGAGTAGAACTCCATCCTCCTTGGTAGCCTTGCATCATATTTCCTGGACCCATAGGCCCCATTCCACCCATGGGACCTCCCATTTGTCCACCAGGGCCTCCCATGCCCATTCCCTAAAAGCATAACTCATTAATAAGGACTTAAAATAATTTAGCTTTATAGTAGACACATACTAGCTCAATAGCCATTTAATCCAGGAATTAGTTAGGTGTTAACTTGTTGTTTAACACATTTATCAACAATAAAAATAAAATATCAGTCATTGAAATGAGATTTTATGGTAAACAAAACAATATTACAGAAGACTAAGTATATGAGTTTTTACAATAACATGTCCACTGAAAAGCTGTTTAGGAATTATGTGTATATCTTTTAATGTTTTTATAAATTAGAATTTTAAGTCACACAACTTACACCCATTGCTAAATGATTATTTTGATTCATGCCCCACTGATTGGCTCCTACATCATTCATTTTATTGGAATCTCTTGGTTCAGCTTTTTTAATTTCAACCTGAAACATAACAATATTAAATATGAATAGTAAATATTTTAGTTTTGATGATATTAATTGTTGATATATTAGCACATGAATTATAAAAGCATATTAAATAACGAAATTTTAATTAATACTTAGGAATAAATGTAAATATATATAACTATTACTATAATACGTATTCAAACAGATTAATTCTATAGTAATTTATTATACTGTATTACTGTTTATATATATTTTTAAACATTAACTTAAAATTATCTCTTAAAGTATGATTACACGTTATAATTTTAAATTATCCTTAGGAGAACAATATATTATAATTAAGATAAATATCTTTAAAATATGACAGTAAATATCTGCTTAATTTATGTATTCACACTAAAAATTAATTATTTTATAGAATATCTACTTTATTATTTGAGTAAAAATGCATTCAATTAATTAAAAATTAAAGAAATAATAACATTTTGTTGAAAAAATAAAAGTTTATCCATTTGTCAACCTTTTCACTGCTGCAAATTTTTATAATACAATATGCTATAGTATTTACATTTCAGAAATAATAAAATTGAATCACAGAGATCAATATAGTTAGTAGTTAAGTTTAATTTTTTATATCCTTATTTAAGTTGTAGGAAGAGTAAACAAAGTAAAATTGTTTCCCAAAATATATTGTTTAACGGCCACTAACTTTTGAGCCAGACAATATTTTACAAAGAGATATTAACATTCATTCAAAAACATTCTTTGATTAAAATTTGGTAGGATATCATATTAATACATTTTATACTCAGATAGTTCAACTGTGGCTATTTTTGTTTATGCATAGTGGAATTTTGTTTAATTTTTCATAGACAGGAAGACTGTATAAAAGTTATTAATATATGTACGAAAATTATAAGTTAAAAAAAAACAAAATTAAAAATATTTTAGAACATGTTATAATAATTTTATCATTGTTTGACATTTTGGAATGTGACAGTATTAAATAAAATAGAAAATTTCTCTTGTTAGTACAACATAGTGAGAAGATAACATAAGCATAATGCAATTATAACATAATAGTACGATAGTGGCAGTGAAAGGGTCTAACACGATAAAGTGTTGAAATTTATTTTATCATTATTAATGTAATATATAAATTGAAACAATAAAGTGTCAAAAGAAAACTATTAATATATAGATAAACCAAGGTAAAACAAGTAACTTTGAATTAAAAATTATCTTGTAGTTACTATTAAAGCTTGAAAGCAGAAATTTGTATCAAATCAAAAAATGTAACAAATCTATTTGAGGTTAACACATTTTTAATATTCAAAGTTACCTAACTTTACATTTAAGTATTCAATTGTATTTACTAAAATAATAATACCTGTTTGCCACTAAGGTTGACAAAATGCTCGGCTACACATCTATCAACAGCATCATCATCTTCAAACGACAAAAATCCAAACCCTAAAAACACCATTGGTTATGTTATGGTGAAAATTTAACACCATGTCGACACTGCTAATAAGCTATTATTTAGTCATTTCTACAATACACACATTATGTAATTAAAAGTAATTATCAAAATTATTGTAACCGCAAAAGATGCTGTATACATTAAATTACAGCGTAATAAATACAGAAAACTACTGAGCTATAAACTGTATAAATAGATAGATTGACCTATTATCTAAGGTAACAATAAAAATATTATCAACTTTGATGGCTTTAATTGATATTTCAACTATCTAAGAAGATAGGATTGTAAATTTCATTATCAATTCATTGTTATATTGAAATTAACAGCTCAAAACAGATTCTTTAGAATTAAAATATACTATATTATGATTGTAGGACAATGGTCTTTTTTAATCAAATCGCCATCTAGATGAGAAGTTTATTGCATTATAATCAGTACCATTATTATATATTATGTTTAAAATGATTGAATTATGGGTAAAATAAATATTATTGGATAAGATATCATAATGTAATTACTTATGAAAAATCAAAAAGCAGAAAATGTTAGCAATACAAGATCTTTTTGTTTATATTAAATTTAAAATTGTATGTTTAGGTACCTAAATTTTATGTACGGAAAAATAGTAATATAATACAAATATAACATACTTGAAAGTTTATATGAATAAATCCTTACATCAATTATTATTAAAAAAAAGATTAACTAATATACCAATAATAAACTAATAAAATATAATATAGTAGAAAATCACCAAAATTTAGAAATTAGTAGCAGTGTTATAATAATACTAATTTAAATTAAGTTACATAAATAGGTGTATAAACAAACATAAAAGATATAATCAAATTTTTAACATCTTAATATAAATAATATAGTAGAACAAGTACATTTTATTAAGGAAACAAAAACAGATGGATAATATAAAAAACCAAGAAAATTAAAAAAAATTATTTCAATAAGTAAAACTATTGAGAATACATTGCATAAAACTATGAAATAGCTGGTTCAAAAGTGTAAATAGATGTTTGTATACTATGTATACTCAATAGTAATACAATCAAATACTTATTCATAAGTCTCATAAACTGTAGATTTATGTTCTAGTTAATAAATTCCATTAAACAAAACAAACCTTATCACACAAAAATAAAATTTCAGAAAAGTTTACTTTTTAACATACCTAAATTAGTAAGTATATAAATATAACATGTCTTTAAAAAAAAAAATGTTTAACTAGAAATCTTAAGTTTCATTAAGGTCTAATTTAAACTTAAATTCTAAAATTAATTTACCTATATCTATTTTGAAACCTAATTATTATGAAAATAAAACCATATTATAATTATACTATAAGATAACTTAGGAATGAATCAATTATATAGTAAGTATACTCTGCATATTCAAGTATTGAAATTGTTATTAAATTGTTTTATGTTTGTTTAGAAACCTAACAATTTTTGTTTTAAATATTAAATTAAAAAAAAAAATATTAAATATTACCTCTTGATTTTTTCTTTTCTTGATCGTACATGATTACAACTTCCATCACTTTTCCATACCGTGAAAAAAAAGTTCTTAAATCAGTTTCAGTAACATTAGAGGGCAAACCACCTAGAAAAACTTTAGGATAACTTGAACTTCTCTTGGGCTTTTGCAAAGTTCTAGGATTACACGGTTTCGGGTCGATCTGTAAAAATAAATATTTTCTTAATAAAAAAAATCCTTCAAATAATTACATTAGAATCTGCTTATAGCAGTGTTTAGGGCACTTTAAGAATCAGATCATTATACCCAGATGACAAAAATATATTGCAAGTGAGATAAAAAACCAACCAAGTACATGGCCAGGACTTTTTTTTATCAGAAATATTGTTATATACTGCATCGTAATGGTTTCTACTGTATTAATAAAACTTATGACAATATTATCACTTACAGTGCGGCCATCCAAAACATGTGGTCCATTTTGTAGCACTACATTTACATTATTTGGATCAGCAAATGTGACAAAACCAAAACCTCTTGACCGTCCACTTTCACTATTTTTCATAACAACACAATCAATCACTTCACCATATCGATTAAAATATCTTTGAAGACTTTCTAAAGAAACATAAATATAAATCAAATATAAATTTTTTTTAACTAAGCTTGCTAAATTTTCAGTCATGAATATTTGAATATAATTTTTAAGTATAAGTTCATATTTTAAACTTTTTGATCACCAAAATGTTAGATCAATATTTCTCAAAAATAAAAGAGTGTGTGAAAATGTTTTCTATTTTTTTATTTTAAAAGTATATTAGTTAGTTTACCTTGTTGAGTTTCCCAGCTGAGTCCACCCACAAACAATTTTCTGCAAACATAATATCAAATAAATAAAAATATTGTTATTACACATAAATTAATCAATACCTAATAAAAAGATAAACAAATGATCGCCTAATATTTATTTATAATTGTCTATTATTACATGTCAGCGTGAATTCTGTATTTAAAGAAGATGATTATTATTCTGTTTAAGTATTTTAAAATTGTTGAACATTATTTATAATCATATAATAAATTCTCCAAAAATGTGTAGAAACAAGAAAAAAAATATGTAGAAACAATTCTACCTAAATAGAATAAAAAAAATTTAACTTTTTAATTTAGATAATAAATAACTGAACAGGTACCAAAACCTATTTCATTGAACTGTATATTTTTCCATAATAAATTAATTTTATAAGATTATTAAGAGGACACCACATCTGCATTTTGTCTCCGTTTAACAAACGTACAACATAGCAAATACAGTTTTGCACAAAATAAAACCACTCAAACTGTAGTCCAAGCCTAGCAACTAAATGTTCACATCGTAAACAAGAGAACATTTAGTGTGCAACATCATTTTTATTTTTTGATATCACAAATACCATAAGAGATTTAATTGCTTAAAAATTCATTATTTAAAACTTAACAAAATTTTTTCATTCAGATGAATGATCGTCTAGCATTTTCTCACTAGCAGGGTACATATAGGTATCTCAAATTTTAAAAAATAAATATTTTTGTTAAATTGAATTAAATGTTTTAAATTATATAATTTTAAGTTCTGAACATCATAAAATACAATCAGAATCATCAATCTGACACAATAAAAATTATTTATTCTGTTTAATTTTATAAATTACAAAGTAAATTAAAAAAAACAAAATTCTAGGTGTTTTAAAATTTGTTATTATTAACAATAATATATTTGATTAGCTCTTATTTAGGTAACAACTTTGGATTAACACGTTAACTGCCATGTGCAGGTGGACGGCTTTAATACAATGTTTAATTTCTATACTTTAATGCCTACCAGCGTCCTAGTGTATCATTACTATCACACTATATGAGACCGCCAGAGACCATAAACTAATATGGTTTTATACTATGAAACTTTCCATGGCACTACAACAATATAAAAAAGTGCAGTTGTGCAGCGGGAATCATTACAATTTTTTTGATATGATAAATATATTTTTAAATATTTATCCAAATATAGTAGCATATACAAATTTGGAATGACATAGAAAAATATGTTTGGTGTATTGATAAACATTATCACATGGCTGCCCGTGAGAACATGTTAAGTATATAAGTTGATCAATCAAAACTTGGAAAAAGGTTCTTTTCGTAAAAAAAAATTATATTGCCGTAATATGTGCAAATAGGTACACGAGTTTAAAACAATGATGTCATAGAAATTGATGGCTAGTTAAGTTTCATGTTTCTGAGGATACAGTTTAAGTAAAGTCTAAAAAACAGAGATGACATTTTTGGACTAACATGTTCCTTCAGAAAAAAATTTGATAATTAACTTTAATATTACAAGTAAAACTAAAATATTGTTTGATACATACAAAAAGCAGATTACGCCTTTTGATTATGATTATCATGCATTATTGGGTCGATTACACAACAATGAAACATTTTAAATTAGGTTATATTAGTATATAAAAGGAATTATACTAGTTAAAATGTATTTAGAACTTTGATTAAACTTCTTGATGCATCATTATTACAATCGGAAAAGGCCATGGACTGTTTTCCTTACAAAATATAGACTAATAAATTAAAATGTTCAAACGTTTTCGGAATTATAGATATTTGAAATATAATTTAATATTAAAGACTAGTAAGTTTTTGTAAATGAGCACTAGCTTATATATATATATATATATATATTTTTGTAATTATATTGGTACAACACTTAAAAATCTTTCCTACATCAATACTAGGAAATTTAATATAATTAATAGAAAATTATAATAGTTTTGTTCTGATGAGAACAAAAGGAAGTATGTTGTACCCATACGACAGACATTTAAAAATGTAGCACTGCAGCAGTCTTTTAAAATTGTTTGTTCAATAACTGCAAGCTAATAGACTGCACCAAAATAAAATGTTTGAATATAAAACATGGAAGATACCTCGTACCTACATAACTAAATGTCATTATTTATTAAATACCAGGTATGATAAAAATTATATGAAATTTAATACAATTAACTTATGTTAAAATTATATGATAAAATGTTTTAATAACCTAACAAATAATTTGTTAGAAAAATATGTGGCATAAAATATTTTAAATAGACACATAAAAATCTATAAAACAATTTTTGTGAGGATAGGTATAGAATAGAGGAATATAAAAGCCGAGTTGCATTAGAAATTAATTTTTTTTTTTAATGAATTAAATAAACTAATCATGATCCACTGAATCATGTTTAAGGGACCATTTAGCTTACTTTCGACTAAATAAATGTTAATTGTTAATGCATCCCGAGATAAATATAATAACCTAAGAAATTTCAATAAAAACAGAAGAATCAACTACTCTGTTAAGTGAGTCAATGTTACAGTCATGTGCTTAGGTCTTAGAATTCATAATTGTAGGTAATCATGAATCATCAAAAGACGCTGCACCTGTTTTAACCAAATTACAAAATTGTGAAAACGCGTTTTTAAATTTAAGAGGCGGCGGCCGTATAGCAATAGGCCGGTACTAAGTACTGCTAAAACAAAATGCTCATAACGACGTAACAGATGGATTTAGTGCGTGGGCGGTAAATCGAAAACTAACAATATTCAGGTTAAATGATTATGACAATTATGGACAAGTGGAGACAACGCTAGCCCATCAAACTTACCCTTGTTCGTCCTCCTCTAAATCAGATTTGCCTCTCATCTTGTAGTGTTCTATATTATATTGTATATATAAAAATATAAAATCAAATGAGTATAAAAAAAAAACTATAAAAAGTAAACACAACGGTTGTCAAAGACGTGCAATAATATATGAAAATGTACAAAATTTTTAACGAAACACTAAGGTCTAATAATTGTCCGGTTGTCGGACATTTAGCATATCGAATCGACACAAAAACACGACACGTCCGACGCAAAATGGCGTCCGCATTTTTTCTCTCTCCTAAAATTTCGGCATTTCACGACACGCGACGTTGTCGCACTCACGTCAACCGATTGATCGTTTATCCAACGTCTTTGGGCTGACTAGGCGCCGAAAAAGTCTGCCGGAGCCCAAGACCGGCTAACGGCCTCGCAGACTGCAATACAGCGAAATCTATGCCCCGCAAACATATTTCTTCGACAAAAATTCAATAAATCCAATACTTAAACAATTATTATCGTCTTGCAACAACAATAACATTATGTTTCATCGTTTTGCATAATATTATTTTGTACTCCGCTTTGCTTGCCGGGAAATTTAATGCGTCCTTGCTAGCCGCCCGATAACCGTGATAAACCAGCGCGTCATCGACGGAGCGGCAACGTCGCAGTCGCGCGCAACACGCTCTGTCGGCGGCTTCTCGTAGACGCGTACGGCGCACCGACTAGACGTTAAGGAGAAAAAAAAAACAATAACACGCTACACGCACAATATTATATTATACTACAACATATTATAATATATATAAACGTGTGTGTTTGTGTGTGTAACTTATCGTGTCTGCCATTTTTTCGTAAGCCTTTTCCGGCTCTACTGCACGTTACAGTGCAAGTAAAACGTTCGAGGTATTCACCGTTTTTATCGTACCGACGAACGGTATAGTGTAACAGACTAGGGACACTCACGACTCACTCCATCGACGCTACACCGTCGAGGAACGCCACCGTGAAGACTTGAAAATCGTGTTGTCCCGCACGCATCACAGCCGGACGCTTTCGATTCGCCGATTGCCGGCGATGTCTGCGACCAAAGTCGAAATAATCGACGAAGACGATTCTGGGTAAATGTTCTTTTCGTTATTTGATATTGTGTTTAAATATTTGTGTGTATGTGTGTTTGTAACGTTTGTGCGTTTAACGGTGACCGCGGCCGAGTCGACGGCGGTTTGGCGGGCCCATGATTGACGCGACGCTCGTTAAACGGTTTTCATTTGCATTTCCAACGCGATCTACGGTCCGCTTGAGCGGGAAAACGGCGTGCTTGCCGCGTCTTCGAAAACGCTCTTGACGATAGATCCTTGTCAAAAACTCCGTCGGGAGTCCATCCCGAGTATGACCTCCGTTCGGTTGGTTAAACGTCCGTTTCGGAATGCGTTAAGAATGTCAAAAAGTTCAACGTGCGTGCTTCGTGACACTATACACACGAATTCTGATAATTGTAGATTTGAAAACTTTTGAAATTGTTCATCGTAATTTTGTTAATGTATACATTTTTTTTATTTTTTTATCTGGTTTTCTAATTTTTCACTATTTTTTCGCCTTTTTCAAATTTACTCAAACTCAAGAACTGATGTTTAATGTTGAGAGTAATAGCTTAACTATTTATTTATGATTGAAATCATTATCAAATTGAATATAACTTATTCATTCATTGTGCTTGTAATTGACTTGGCTAAACTACCTATGTTATGGTCCATGTGAACCGCAAAAATCTATTAGTATGTGTGCAATTGTTGGTAACCAATTAATAACTACCTACATATATTTTGTAAGTTTGATTTTTCATTTATCAAAATTAAATATATGTGTATACCTATTGTAGAAACCACTAAAAACAGTTTTTTATCTGATATACTGTTCCTACCTATCAAATATATATACCATGTGTATGGGTATTATAGTTTATAATATGTATGAAATGTGCTAACTTAACAAAATGTTTTTGGTTCAACTATAGTATTTTAATTTGTTTTTCTAATAAGTATGTATTTGAGAAACCCCTAAACTTCCATAAACGAGGGTAAGATACTAAGATGCCAGTTATTGTTTTTTATTTTAAAACTGATTACCTATCTATATGTCTACAATAATTCAATTTGATACATTTTTTGATTTAATATATTATTTTAAAATTAAGTAGGTGCCTTGGTTGTTATGAAATTACAATATCGTTATTTATATACCAAATACATAGGTACTGGTTTATGATAGTTATTTGTAGGTTTGTGTTGTATAGAAGTATTTTGAAAAATTGGAACTAGATCATTTATTTAACTACACATGTCATTACTCAAGAGGTGTTTTCATAAATTTATTTCCTTATCGTATTAACAATATGATTTTTCCAATATAATATTTTAAGAAACCAAGTCTAGACTCTCTTAACTTGTAAAAACCCTCTTTGAATTATCAACATTAAAATCCCGTTCTCCTCATTTGGTTATAATAACCATTTTAGAATTATGTATACCGAAGAACCAAAATATAAGCGTATGCGTACAGAAGACGATGAGTCCCGCAAAATGAGTTTAACCAAAAAGTCGTTCAACCCAAACTGGTTGAAGTTTACCATGTTCAAAGATTGGCTGATGCCTCATAAACTGCCAGATAAAGCTGTATGCAAGGTTTGTCATTGTGTATTGGTTGCTGGAAAAAGTGAGCTTGAAAAACATTTAGCTACACGTAAACATGAAAGAAACATGGAAAAAATCAATGGTTCTCCTGCTGAACAAGATGATATTGAGACATATACAATAATTTCAGGTAGAGTATCCTACTCGATAATTGATAGGAAATTGTGTATTCTAAACTGTCCTTCAACGTGCGTAATGATATCACTTAGAATATCACTCTTTCCATACATTTGTGTAACTGATGAGGCAGAACCCTTTAACTTCACTGGCTATAAAACAAAATGTGTCTTTCAATTTTGATTATTTTTAATTAAATTTAACTATCATAAGTATATTGAGCAAGTAAATTCTGCACAATGTATAAAAAGATGGGTTGAAGGCTGAATGGTTCAATATTATATTGTGTGATGAAATTTAATATTTGTATATATTTTGTTTAATGTATTACATTTTCTACTTAACATTCTATAAATAAAAATTATTATTTTGGTTTAGTTTTATATTTTGAAGATATGATGTTTTTTTTCAATGCTTGTCTTCTTTTTTTTTTTAGGTTATTACTTGGGATAAAATTTTACTTTACCTGATTAATCACAGTTAAATTGTTTCTGAATAATAATATTAGTGTTCTTATTGTTTAAATGTTCTCATTTGAGAAATAATATTTGATATTGGTGTCATAAGCTTACTGAACTGTTTTAGTTCAGTCTAAAAAGTATAGGTAACCCCAACAGTTGAGTGTAGGTCTCTGTAAAAGATGCTTTAAATTTAAATTCAATAATAAATTCATTGTATAAGAAAAACAATTCTGAGCGGAGGTGGTCAGCCTATATTACTAAGTATATATTTTTAATTGCTATTAAAGTAATATATTTTATTATATTGTGTAATATGGTTTAAACTAAATATAGACAATGGCTTATAACTAACTTAAACAATTTGAACATGTCATTGCATATGCAGTAAAACCTCTAAATACCAGGTACTCTCGGACGCTAAAATGTTGTCTATTGTTTGGTGGTGTCCTCTATTCAGAGGACCCAGTTTGTAGTTAGTTTCCCAAGAAAACATCCGTTAGGGAAGGTTACATTGTATGCATTCAGATTTTAAGTTCCGCCAATATTTTGGATAACAACAAAATAACAAATTGTTATTTTTGGTTTAATTATCCAATTTCATTATAATTTGAAATTAAATCATCTTAAATAATAATTATACTTTTTAGATTTCTGAGTTTCAGTTAGAAATCCTCTTGATGAACCTCGTTTTATATTTTCAAACTTAAGCTTTAAAAACATTTTATCAATTTAAGCTTTCTTGATAAATTTTGTATAATTTGAACTTTAAACGCTTAAAAATAATATTGTGACTGTTTTTGATGATCTTAAGTTGGTATATGAATCAGTTGAGGAACCTTGTATTACATTTTCAAGCTTTTTACACCAAAGGCGATATTGTAACACTCATTAATCAAAAGAAAAAAACCTATTATCAGTACAAAAAGAGCCTAAATATTTTGAAATTTATTTCGTATCTAGTATTTGGTGAAAATTTAATCTCAACAGTTATTGGTTTTTGAGTTACAACTAAAAAAACCCAAATGCAATGTTGTTAATATCAGACTGTACAGAGATATTTTTATTTTACTCTCACAGTACCAACTAGATTTGATATTCTATCAGTTGCTATCTTCAAAGTTGACAAACAAAGAATTTTTCTTTGATAAAAAGTATAAAAAAAAAGTAAATCCAATACTTTCTGCTCTGCTCAGAATTTAAAAATTTGACTACAATGATTTGTTTTTATAACGATTGTCAAATATTTCTTAGAAGGTATTTATAAGTTTCTGGTTTCTTTGTCCATTTGTATAATTATTTTATCTTGGTAAATATAAGACATGTTGACATTTAAGAATATTTTTTACTGTAGTAAGTTATAGATTTAAGTTATTTTTTATTAAGGTGTCACATGTTCATTTGATTCAGTTATTATTTTTTGATCAGTTAATTTGTAATGGGAAATATAAAGTCTTAGGCTACATAATTAGTTTATATGTTATTATTTTTTTGCAGCAGATGAAATTCAGTAACCCGCAGCACTTAGGGAATTTCAAGGTATTTGAAGCAGAAAGACAACAAAATACATTTTTAAATTAAAATAATATTGTTTGATTCTACGCTATTTCAATGTCTAACAACCAACAACACGAAGAATATACAATTTTAACAACAGGCTCAAACAACCGAGGTCAAATGTCTCAACCTCATCTTACATTTACACCACCTACTCAAGTGTTTCGAACCGAATGGCAACGTTTTCCAGAATTTCATGCTTGGTTACGGCCAATTGATGGAGATGTAACAAAAGCTTGGTGTATTGCATGTGAACGAATGTTTCGAGCTGATTTAAAATCCTTACGAGTTCATGGTGTAAGTAAAGCTCATGTGCGTATGGTACGGGCTCGTTGTCCTAATGCAGATGACAATCCTGTACCACCAATTGAGTATAACGTGGTGACTGACAAAAAAGGAACTTACGGCATAGCTGTAGTGACTAATAAGGAAGACAAATCTTCACTTGGGTCAAGAG